CGGCTTTTACTTAACTGCTAAATTACAAAGTACAATTTAACTACTAAATTTAAAGTTATCAGTTAACTCAATTTCAAGCTATTTGAATTTCTAATACGTAACAAACATTACGATAGTTTACCACATGACGTCCTTTTGATATTTCCGAATAGGTACTTGTATAATTCATCGCAGGACATAATTTTGAAACATTTGTTATAGCCCACATTTGTCCTTAAACAATTTTCACGAAAATTCTTATTCATTGTGATTCATAAAATCTTGACGAATCCTTTCAAAATATTAAATATAATATCTATTTGACAATGTTTCTAAAGAAAAATAATTTGTATAAATACTTTAAGACTAATTAATATTTACACTTCAAGAAATTCTTGTTCAGAAAATATTAATATTTCCCGAAAAAAACATTATTTATTGTATCTATATAGATAACCTTTATTTTTTAACACTAAAATATAACTATTTCAAGCTTACTTTTAAATTAATAATTTTGTTGTTTTTAGCTTTAGAAACGAAGGAAAAACAATTTGATACTATTTTTAACTATATTCATAGAAATGATCTTATTTACTTAATAACAACAACAAAATATCGACAAATCAGGTTCAAAACGTTTATAAATGCGCTAAAAATATATCGAACAATGTTTTCAAATAATTTTTATTCTGTTCACAAAGAAGAACATCTTAACTTCTTCAAACCCTTTTCTAAATTGGAACATCTGTACTTAAAGTGCAACGAAAAATCATATTTTTTTTAAATTTGTATATCTTTCACCTCATATTTTCTTATTATGAAGAAACTCCCAAGTGTTTAGACCTTATATAACCGAGCCTGGCTTGGTTGTCAATTGTTTAAATATTTGTAAGTGAAAATAGTAATTACGAGATATATTAATTGTTAGGGTTGTAGCTACATTTTACGCGATCATTACATTGCGATAAACTGGTCATGAGACGAAGAATTACAAAATTTCCAACTCTGACTTTTATTATTATTATTACAATATTTCAGCTATAGACTCAAGTAACTCGTCTTTTATTGTGGGCATATGACGAGTGTTGATCAAAGCTGGAAACTTCAACAATTTTCAAGAATGTTATTTTACACTCTATAAATGATTGTAGCTATTTGTTAAGTGATGAGGATAAACAGTGTTAATCAAAGCTGGCAACTATCCAAGATTTTTATGAAGGTCATTTTACAGTGTGTGAGCGAATTGTTGTGGATAAAGAGTGTGAATCAAAGCTGGCAACTATCCAAGATTTTTAGGAGTCATTTTACATTGAATGAGCGAATTGTTGTGGATAAACAGTGTGAATCAAAGCTGGCAACTATCCAAGATTTTTATGAAGGTCATTTTACAGTGTATGATCGAATTGTTGTGGATTAAGAGTGTGAACCAAAGCTGGCAACTATCCAATATTTTTATGAAGGTCTTGTACAGGTGTATATACATCACTACAGCTTGTCGTTAATTTTTGGCAGACATACAGCATTGACCAAAACGGGCAAGTATCCACGATTTTCATGAAGATTGTTTCACAATTATCTGTGAACCTAAGCAACAACTTGAGCAATATTTTCCCAATAATTAAGTTTATCAGACAGTTAAGCAGTTTAGGGGTAAAAAACAACATTATTATTATTATTGGGTGTAGATTTAATTCACATTTCTCGCTAGATGTCGCACATTAAAAACTACGCTGTTATCTTGGAATATTAAAGAGAACTATTTCAACAATCTACATTTCAGGATAAAACTGTTTAACCTCAATTAAGGTGTCGTGCAGGGTAACCGAGTAATTCCCCGTGTATCTGTATTCTCGCTTAAAAGCATAATTAAAGTTCGTCTTTAATTGGTAACAAATGTAACTAACACACCTTCATCAAACTTGGCATCTATGCATAATTTGAATAAGGGCCGTTATAAATTTTCCATGAAAATAACAGGCTTAGAAAAATCTAGAAAAGAATGATTATATTCGCCCTGAAGTTTCAGCTTAGCTATTTTGTTCATATACATAATACATACATACATACACAGGAAACAAGTCTAACAGATATTTCAAGAAATAAATCATTAATTTCTATAATCCGAAATCTACTTTAAATGCGTGGAATTACAGTGTAATATCCGTTTACTGCTTTTACTTTCTTAAGCCACTAAGTAACATATAAGGTGCCGCTTTTCGATTAAACTGGTGCAGATCAGCCTTTGATTTCGACATTAAATATTTTCCATACCAGGAAACAAAGAAGACAATGTCAAGACTGGCAATGGGCCAACTTATAAAAATTATGCACAGAAAAACTAAAACAATATTTGGCTGTATTTAACGCGTGTCACTTGGTAGATGAACAACGAAAGGATATGTTTTACTGGTGTAAAACTAAAACAATATTTGGCTGTATTTAACGCGTGTCACTTGGTAGATGAACAACGAAAGGATATGTTTTACTGGTGTAAAACTAAAACTAATATTTGACCTGTATTTAACGCGTGTCACTTGGTAGATGAACAACGAAAGGATATATTTTACTGGTGTTAACTCGTTTATGGGAGAAAAAAAAATTACTAGTTACTTTTGGAAGTAGGGCGGTTTTCTGTTTAATACACTGTCCGATGTCTAATGACCAAACGACCTTTTATAATTTTTGAATTAATTTAAATCGAAATGGTCGAACAGTTATAACATTTTGTTTGTTTAAACAATTTACTTCCTTTCCTGTTTAACTAGAAAATGTATCGAATGAACGGCGGGAAATAAAAATTAAATTCACAAGAGCTAACAAATAAATTAATTTTAAAAATGAAAAGTCTGAACAATAACAAAAAACTTATAAAATACGCATTTTTTTTTTCAAAAATATTATTATACTTTTACTTAGTCTTATTCACAATTACAACTCTGATGAACTATATAATACGATAAAAATTACAGTTTGTTTATTTCTGGTAGGGACTTAGTGAATTTTAATATGGAAACTCTTATAGTCAATCTGAGTGAAAATCTTTTCTCGAGAAAGATACAATGATTGGTTAATTTCTAGTTCTTCCATTGTGACTTATTAAAAATTAATTATTATTGATAAATGATTTAACTTGTGCAAAATACTTTCATATTACAATTTCCTAAAAGTTCGATCTTGCAGTTAAAAAGACGAGATCAACTGATTAACATATTCTACGGATTAATTTTTATTACCCCTGGTGGCCAATAAAAACTTTATTGAAAGAAAAAAGTCGCTATTTATATCAGTTAACAATAGAAGTGAACAGCACTCGGGATACATGTACTGACTTCGAACATTTATCGAAGCAGTTTAAGGCATAATAGACATCTGGGTTTTACAGATAACTAAGACTTTTCTATAACACAAGTTACTTCTCTTCAAACTTAGCACTTTTTTTTAAGTGGGGTTTTCAATTAAAATATGAGCAGAAACAGTTACAAACAATAAAAAGTAGTAAAAATTTAATTATTTAATCTATAACCCTCTGGCAAAACTTTTTTTTTTATGAGGACAGTAAGCCGAGCGAATAAAATACATAAATACGAAAATATAGGTTATTTCATACCATCAGATAAAATGAAAATGAAAAATATCATCCGAAAAGACCCCTTAAGGGGAAAATTAGTGTGAAAAATTAGCAATAACTGAACAATTAAAACCGTTGTAGTTGTAATTAAAAACAACAATTTTTACTGTTATAAAACACAACAACAAATAGACCAAAAACTATTGCATTTAAATTTGTAACTGAGTTGAGACATCGAAAGAATTAATCTGGTAAATGTTTTATAACAAAATTATTATTAGGTAGAATTTAAAAAGCTTAGAAACTCGAACGCTTCCGAGCAGTTAACACTTCTTCTTCAGGAGTAAAAAGACCCTTTATATTCTTGAAGAAGAGTATTCAACTAGTTGAAAGCGCTCGAATTTTTTTTTAACTCTGACTAATTTTCTAGAGATTCTTTTTGTTAAGCATTTTAAAAGTAGCAAACTATTTCCACGAAAGAGACCCGAAGACTACCTGAAGGGATCACTTATTTTAACCACTCACACCACTATATAGTAGTGTGTTGCCTGTCAGCCAGTCAGTCAGTGGACACTAAAATGGTGTCACATATGGAACGCTTAACGTTGCAATTTGTACTGTCGTGACGTCAATAAAATGTGCGCATGCCATGAATCACGAGAAGAATTATGCACTCTGTAGGCTACAACACAGAATGACATATGAACTTCAAAAGCAAGAAATGAAAATATTTGCTACTCTTAATTTTGGTTTTATTTACTAACAGAACACTTTCGGGATACCTGCGCAAGTACATATGGTATTATATGCTGTTTTTATCAGACTTTTAAAACTGTTGAGAAATAAACTACGGTCATAAAACATGAATTTTGAAAACTGGCAACATACCGTTGTGGTGAAGTGTAACAACAATATTCACTGACAAGTCTCTTGACTACAGTTTCAACAATAAAAAAAAAATTCTATTCTTCGTCAAATGAACTTCTAAAAGTGTACATAAACCTTTTCTAGAGCTCATAATATTAGTTTGTTTTGAAAGTTCTAGAGCTCATAAGGTTAGTTTATTTTGAAAGTAAAAATGTTACATTTTTTTTCTCTTTTTTTTTGCGAAAAGAAAAAAAATAGTTTTTAAAGTGAACACTCTTTGGTATAAATAATCTCTTTTCAAAGAACCATGATGATATCGATTACTGGTTTCGCGAAAAAAGTTCTACTTAATAGAGTTTTTTTCATTATTCAGTGCTGTAGAACAGAGGATCAGGAGGATTTGGTTCTAGCTTTGGGCTTGATTAATCGAAACAATCTTCTAAAAGAAATGTTGTCTTTATTTTAGACAAAGAAAACCTGAATTCCTTTAAAATAACTGTAAACCTTTAATAACGACTCAATGATGTCAAAATTCAGATATTCACACATACACACACTTATATATATATATATATATATATGTGTATGTGTGTATATATATATACACACGACAGTGTTAATACGTAATTCTTACCTTGGCACTTTTGAACGGTTTGTTCATTCTGCACGCCTTTTTGATATCAATTTCTGTTGTATTAACACAACCCGGCTGAATAAGAGAAAAGTAGTATTTTATTTTCAGATGTTATGTTAAACACTAAACCAGTTCACCTTTAAATCCTTTAAACAGTGAATCTGCTAAACATTAACTTCAGTAAACAGTGAATCAGATAAACATTAAATCCATTAAACACTAAACCAGTTAAACTTTAAATTAATTAAACAATGGGCCAGCTAAACATTAAATCCATTAAACAGTAAATCAACTAAACATTAAATCCATTAAACACTAAACAAGTTAAATTTTAAATCCATTAAACAATGGGCCAGCTAAACATTAAATCCATTAAACACTAAACAAGTTAAATTTTAAATCCATTAAACAGTGAATCAGTTAAATATTAATTCCTTTAAACATTAAAATTCGTCAAATGTTAAATCACACAATACAGAGAACAACACTTCTAAATTAAACGCCAAGAATAATTGTTATGATATTATTAGAAAAGTTAAGTTTAATGAAATCATAGGAGATGGATTAAAAAGTCATTAGAAGTTTTTGTTTTTTTTTGTTAGAAATTTCATAATGCGTCATTTTTTTATAAAGGTTTTAAACAAAGTAGGTTTAGAATATGATAACGCTCTTTGGCTAGCCTCAATCTATTCTTTTTTCTCAATCAACAGCCTATTTAGATGGATGTTTAAGTGAATTTTATCATAATGACTTTTATTTCACTCAAAGTAATAAGAAAATGAAGGTTAAAACGCTTTAATGCTAGTCTTCGTATTAAACTTCCTTTAAATATAACTGATTACAAGAGAATAAAAATAACACGTGAGAAACCTAACTTTTTACCCGAACTATATAAATATATACATCTTTTGCATTTAGAAAAAAAAATCAAATAAACTAACCAGATAATACTTTTTTTAATACCGGGGATGACTAAATTAACTTAAGCACTATTTGATGAATAATTGTCTCTTGGCAGTGTAGCATTTAGACCATTTTCGGGGTCATCATTCCGGGCTACGGGTCAAAAGGGCTAATGTTCGCACCGCGATACCACTAGGTACTCTTCACGTTTTTACCTGTGGGTGCGCTATAAGAGTGAAAGTCAACCCCGTTATTCGGTTCAAGGCAGGCAGAACCCATATAGCGATAGTTGCTACTGACTGGCTAACTTTTTTTTGGACAGTATTTCCAAGTTGTGGACAGCTATACCCGAGCCTTAGCCGATACTGCCGACCAGTTTTACTCGTGCACATTGCATAAACCCACAAAAACGACTAGACAAACAACTGATCCCTCCCCCAGCTTTACTCATGTCATGACGTAGAACACTTTTGCCCAATTACTTAGCTCACTCAAACTAACATTTATGTACCACATTCGATACTGAAAAGCGTTGTTATTTAACCCTTACATATTTACTCTTGTTCAAAACAGTCTTTCTTTTTTAAACTTAGGAACAGGCTAGTTCTGTTGTGGAGTGCTAGATTTCGAACGCGTTATAAAAGTGACGGTCAATCCCTTAACGTGGATGGTTGGTGTTAGGATACTACTCAAAGGCTGCCTTCCTTCTCTAAGTAATTTAAAAATTGGAGAGAGAGGCAGGTAGCCTTCATAGCTTTACGACAATTACAAACATTTTTTTAAACCATAGGAAGAGAATAAGATATGCGATTCTCGTAAAATCAAAAGTTAAAGAATTGATTTCAACTATCTAGGTAATCGCATTAAAACAAAAACAAAAAACAACAACCACAACAGGAGGATCTTAGCAACAAGGAAGTTCTACCAACTAAACGTTAAAATACTCCATCTCTCTCTGATTATAATTAAAGTCCACAAACCCGAAATATACAGTCTAAGGAAAAACGAGGAAATATCTGCAGATGAATCATTGAGAGGTGCTAGAAAAAACTAATTAGTTTAATTAAAGTGATTCTTTTAAATTTTTGCAATGTGGTACTCGAAATCAATTTAAATGAAGAAAGACACCCTAGTTTCTGAGAACAGAGGTGGCCATGAAACGTTTCACCATAATGAACTACTTTAATCAGTAACATCATTAAGGGATCATTAATTCTCACGTTGCAGCGAAACACCAAGTTTTCAATAACAAACTTTTTGTCTTAGTATTTTAATAATTTTTTCTTGCGGTTATTATCTACTACAAGCATGGTTTGAGGATAATGTCTGGTCGCACCCAAATCAGAGAATTATTATCAATTACTCTTTATATTTGTATCATATTGTTTGTACAAACAGTATAGTTACTTCGTGAGTTATTGAACTCGTTCAAGATTCATTAAAAAAGTAAATTACAGCAAAACGCATGAGGAACCGTCTTCAAAACTGACCAAACAGACAAGAGTTAGGCTTAACTTGTTAAAAAGTGAAGTGCGATAAAAACGATGAAAAATACAGGTACATGATTTGCAACACAAAACAAACAGAAAAAGTTTAGTTTACAAAAACTTAAAACGTAGTAATAGAAATTTTCTATCACAAAATATAATAAAGAATCTTTTTTTTCTCCGCTTCAGAACAAGTATCAGTTGCCCAAGGATGACTTGTAATTAAAATGAGATTAGAAAACAATCCTTGATATTTTGTAGTTGCCCAGGCTTGACTCGCAATTAAAACGAGATTAGAAAGCAATCTTAAATATTTTGAATGGACACACACGCACACTCACAAATTATAATAACTTTCAAATCAAAAACAAAACTTACTACGGGTCTATGCACATCCCAAAAAGCTCTTTCCTGACTATCCAACACTTTTCTTTCCAACTTGTCTCTTTTCTTGTCAACCCTAAAGAAACAAAGTTTGTATGACCACAATAAATGAAATAATTGTTTTGTTTTGGTGTTAACTGCAAGTTAGACAGCAGTAAGGTTACGATCTTACAGAGCTAAATTCTGGGTTCGATTCCTCGCAGTGGACACAGCAGATAGCCTAATGTGGCTTTGCTCCAAAACGAACAATTGTAAATGTAAAATCAAATGTTAATTGCAATGATGCACATTTGGTTATATGAGCTGTGTATATACCACAGGAATCGAGATTGAAATTTACGCGTTATAAGCCTTTGTGTGTACTGCTTAGCCATCGGGAAGTAAAGCGCAGTAAGCATTTTCTAAACAAAATAAAATGTCTTTAATATTTACAATGGTATTAAAATTAAAGCAGCTCTTTATGATTTCTAAAAACAAAAGTAGGCTATTTTATTAACATTTTAGTTTTATCGAATTAAAATATTCCAGTAAATAATCTAGAAATTACTCGTAATTTTCTAATGATGATATTTCATAAGATAATTTAAGGATTTGCACAGATTTTCAAGAATCTGTATATTTTTATACTATACTGGCTGAAAGTGCTTTAAATGTCACTTTTACACGAGAGAAGTGAATTGGTTGAACGAAATATCGTTGTGGAAAATTCAGAATTATATATTACTTATATATTTATTCCTTGTTATTTTCTTTGGAAAAGTTTCTTATCTGATAAATTGCTTACAGAAGAGCTTCTTAAGCTTATGACAAAAAAATTGAATTTGAAGTTAGCCTGAAAGCGTAGTTTATTACGATAATAGGTATAACATAAAATTAGCCTAAAAGAATAGTTTATTACGATAATAGGTATAACATAAAATTAGCCTAAAAGCATAGTTCATTACGATAATAGGTATAACATGAAATTAGTTTGTCAGCATAGCTAATTATGATAATATATAAAAAATGAAATAAGTTCAAAATCATAATAAAATTTCAAAATAACTTTGAATGACCTCGGTGATATTTGTCAAGGAGTAGGCCTACAACACCCTATTTCCAACTAACGACTAACAATTATTTTTCATTACTTCGCCATTTCAGAATTATTTGCCTGTCAATGGACACTTGTATCACCCCCACCCCCCACCTATATATATATATATATACATAGAGAAAATTAGGTTTCACGTAAATGCACAAGCTGGGCAAATAATATAAAATGTCCAATGTTTACTTCACACGTTTTGTTAGATATTATACAGTCTTACTGTTCTACGTTTATTAAAACAGAATTCAAGTTTTCAGGTGAAATAAAATTATACATATTTCAACCATATCGAGTGTTAAGATTTTCTCTGAAATAAAACTCACTTGGTCCGTGCCTCAGCCTGCATGAAGATAAATTCCCATTTCCGAGAGAACATTTTCTGAAGCCTAGCCAGGTTTTCCGCCTCGTAGTCTGCCAGTTCTAGCCGGGTTTTGTTCTGCATGGTTCGTTTACATAAATACACAGCTAATAAAATGGGAGAAACAAAACAAACCTACGAAGTTACATCTCTTCTAGTGGTACAGAAATGGGGGGTGGGGTGCAATGCGTTTACTTCATTTAAAATAACATTTTTTCCAGGAGCACAAACATTTTCAAATGTGAGTCTATAGTATAGCCATATTATACTCGAATATTTTATTATATTTTTTATTTTACTTAAACTATATCAAATGTTTAACGTCCATGTTATTTAATTACACAGTAATATATATATTATAAAAACCATTAATTGTTTGTTTTGAATTTCGCGCAAAGCTGCACGACGGCTATCTGCGCTAGCCGTCCCTAATTTAGCAGTGAAAGAATAGAAGAAAGGCAGCTATTCATCACCACCCACCGCCAACTTTTGGGCTTCTCTTTTACCAACGAATAGTAGGATTGATCACCACATTATAACGCCCCCACGGCTGAAAGGGCGAGCATATTTGGTGGGACGGGGATTCGTACCCGCGATCCTCAGATTGGGAGTCAAGCGCCCTAACCACTTGGCCATGCCGGGCCAAAAAACATTAATATGTTGAATTAATGTAACTGAAAATAAATTATTTGTACGTTATATGATTTCTTTGTCACATAACTGACATAATATATTAAATGAGTTAGAAAAATTAAATAAAAGAAAATCTATTTACTCTTCAAAGGTTTTGCAGAAAGTTGATAAGGAAGACTGAAAACCAAACCAGAAAATATATGAAAAAAATAATATAGAAGTCTGAAAAACAAATTTCTCATGGAAAAAAATTCTCGAGATTTGAAACTTAATTATCAAATAGAAATAGATTCAGAAGTTAGCATACATATTTGTCATTCTTTCCATTTCACATAAAAATACGTAGAACATACCATAGTCTGTATTCTCTGGTTCCCAGCAGTTAGATGGCCAAAAATATGGTGTCTGAAAACAGTAAATTGAATAAAAACTTATTCACAAACCCATTTCTTCTTCTCGCAAAGAAATCTTTGAAAATCGATAAAGAATTGATTGGATAATTTTAATTTTTTGTAAAAGATGGTGTGAAACATTTATTGATTAAAATAACACTTATTAATTTTTTTTGTTACCATATTGGTTCTAAATATTCACTCAACATATTTTATTATGTAAGGTCGTTTCAAAGTTTTGTGAAGACTATGAAAAACAAACTTTACAAACTACTCAAGACACCATGAAAAAAAACAACTTTACAGACTAGTCAAAACACCATGAGAATACAAACTTTACAAACTACTTAAGACACCACAAAAAAAAAAAACTTTACAAACTACCCAAGACAAATTTGTAAAACACTACTTTAAATTTATTTGAGAACTATGTTTCTTTTCCAAAACTCATTCAATGAGTGAATCTCAGCTTTCAAATATCCAAGCAATGCTATATGTGTGTTTAGCGGGTTTAAACATGAACTCTCTTCAAAGAATTAACTGCTACATGTTTGGTTTTAGATCAGCACCATAAAGGGCGAACTGTTTCTAAAACTGATGGCCGAGGCTTGAAAAGATTATTTACACGTTAGAGTGCGCTGAAAAAGGAAAGCATTACTCCAACTAAAGGTGTCCGAATTATTGGACGTTGAAGAACATAAAAAAGTAGAAAAATGGAAAACATTTTAAAAAAGAAGCAATAAAATAAGAAAAAGATAGACTTGTAATTCGTACGTACAGCTGTCACGGAAAAGACAGATATCTTGAGAACATCCGTTAGTTTGTAGTTTTTCTTTTACCTTTACAGTTAATTAATGTTAAAATATGATAAACTGCACGAAACCTTGCAGAAACTGCTCATCAAAATTATTGCTGATACCAGTACTTGAGCACTTTTGTTTTTATCTGTCGAGAATTCATATCATTTCAAAAGTTTGAAATAATTTTGTTGTTCGATCTTCCAAACAACTTAAATTTAAAACATTTCTTTACTGATACTAGAACAAATCATTTTGGCCCTTACTTTTAAGAATGAGGCGGATCCTTGGATGGTTTTAGTTTGCGGAAATGACTAGTTTACTTTGGAGAAATATCTGATATAGCTTGCCCACTTGAAAATCTGCTGTAATTACGCTATGCTAAGTCAGCTATAAAACTGCTTCATGGATGTATTTCATTCAGTTTCTTCATATGTGCTTTATCGAGCCTCAGGAAATAGTTTTGTGAATCGGAATCACTGCTTTAGTCACTTGAAAAATATTTTCACTCATATATATATATTGGCGAAGATGATCGAAGACTTAGGATCTCCATTTCTGAGTTGTAAGTCATAAGTATGTTTCTGATTGAATTTAGATATTTGATATAATTAGCAGCAGAATGTGAAAATTTTGGTAAAATTAATAAGCACACCCGATGCAAAGTGGGATACCATGTACTTTTATGTGAACATCCACCAAGTTGATAAATATAGTGTGAAAACATCGAAAACAGTACATATTTCTGTGAAATTTCTGACCTTTACGAAAAACAATGACCTTAATCAAAATATAATCATAACGTTAGTAAAAGAGAATATTTCAATTCCAATTGTTAATTCATGAATAATATCATTAGAAAATCGCTTCATCTACTGTTGTAGACGTTTCAGGTCTTTTTCAGATTCTGCTGGATGTACAAAAGTTCTGAAAACTCTTCCTACATCTCACATGAGTGTTTGAATTACTTATAGCGAATAAAGGACACTATAAACACCTCCTACATCTTAGGTGAGTGTCTGGGTTACTTGTAGTGAATAAAATATACTACAAACACTTTCTACATCTCAGATGAGTGTTTGGATTACTTATAGCGAATAAATGACACTACAAACACCTCTTACATCTCAGATGAGTGTTTGAATTGCTTGTAGAGGATAAAGGACATTACAAAACCTCCCACATCGCATGTGAATCTTGGACTACTTGTAATAAATAAAAGACACTACAAACACTTTCTACATCTCAGATGTACGTTTGGATTACTTATAGCGAATAAAGGACACTACAAACACCTCCTACGTCTTAGATGAGTGTTTGGATTACTTGTAGCGAATAAAGGACACTACAAATACCTCCTACATCTCAGATGAGTGTTTGAATTGCTTGTAGAGGATAAAATACATTACAAAACCTCCCACATCTCATGTGAATCTTGGACTACTTGTAATAAATAAAAGACACTACGAACACCTCCTACATCTCAGATGAATGTTTGGATTACTTGTAGTAAGTAAAGGACGTTACAAACAACTCCCACATCGGAGATGCAGTTTTTGTGTTAACATCTGTTTTGTGAAAAAAAGTAAAATGTTCTATGTACTTCTGTACTTGTTTAAATATATTACTGCTTATTTTCCATTTTCCAGAGATAGACTCGAGTATAAAACTTGGTTTTCGAAACCGGATGTTGGATGACAAGACCCATCTCATCAGTGACTTATGTTATTGTGTCAAACACTGAAGCTGATGACACAATATAACTAAAAGTTATGTTCGTCATAAAGACTACACTAGACTGCATTTCGTTTAAACAATCTAAAAAATAGAATTACATAACATGACTCAGTTAATATTGTACATACACGTTTTCTTTTTTCTCGATTGAGCTTTTATAACGGAACAAAAACTATATGTTATTAAACTACTTTATGATTATATGGGGATCGATAATTTTAGCAGAAAAGTTTGAAGTGGTAAAATAATACATAAAACAATGAAATATCTCCAGCTTTAAACAAACAGTTTTAAGAACAAACTGTCTGCAAGAAAAGGAAATCTGAGTTAAGTAACATTATGGTTAAAGTACACCATAAAGCTGGTTATGGTAACCATATGTGTTATCCTTTTAACCATAGTACCAGACTAAACAATCTGAATTTAGATTTTGTGTGTCCAAAAAAGATTTACAACTAAAAATATCTTTCTAATTTTGTCATATATATACATTCTTATAAGTTATCACAAAGGCAACATTCGGAACTCCTGACATTTTTTGGGGGGATTGGTTTCTTCTATTATATGTGATGTTTATTTAGAAGAATCTTTTGCATATAATAACTTTGTTATAAAAATCATGTCAACAACTTTAGACATTTGAAATGTAACTTTTAAAACACAATATTCTCGCTGGCGTTAGAACTTAGTAAAACTTCAAAGCTTACATGAAAAATGTACGTATTAGTTACATTAAGATAGCGTGTTGTAAGCCAAATGTGTTTTTAAGTTTTTCTTTTTGCATATTAACCAGGCAACATTGTTCACTAGATGCAGCATTATACGGGTTTTGCTGAGATTGTAAGGTATGTATTTTTATTGCTGTTAGACGTAAGGCTACACGATAAATTACCCGTGCTCTGTCCACAGAGAGTATCGAAACCCGATTTTTAGCATTATAAGCTTTCAGACTTGCCACTGAGCCACCGGTGGGAGGCAAAAGAAGCATGAAGTTATTAAGTTTCAGTATACAACTATAATCACGGTGGATTACTTTGATACAAGAGATTTTATAAATTACACAGTTGAGATGTCTTACCATTTTACAGACAATCATTCAACAGTTTCTAGAAAACTTTAAAGGCCGTAGCTTTGTTTATGCAACGCCAGTCGAGTTATGATCCAAGTTCAATATTTGTTCCTTTAGAAACTGTAGCGGAATTATGTGTCGTGTGGCTTTTATGTGGAGCGACAACGAAAGATAAACTAAACTATTTAGAAGTTACGACAGTCTAGAAAAATCGATAAGGAATAAAATCTTCACGTAAATAAAGCATGTATTGATAGGTTATTTCAGGTTGGCTTGGTTTATAATAACTAATGTTGAGGCATAGAGTGTAGAATAATCTTTAGAGTTTGTTCCACACATTTTATAATTTTTATATAATAACATAAAAAATCATTTGATTCTTCTGAATCTTTTGCACGTTAAATAAACTTTTTTATAAGAAGTAAAACCAAGAGATGACGTCACCAATATCTTCCGGGGTTCGAAATTTCTCAAATAGTATGATAAGAAACAAACAGTCTCTAGCCTTTAAAGTCAAAGGTAAGAAGGTTTTTCTCGATTCCCGTAACGTCTGTGACAAAGATGTCACCACTAGTACTTCTCCAAAAATAGAACACGGTGCGGTAAGTAATGTTTCTAACCACTGATCTCTATACTAAACCACCTAGACTAAATATACAGCATTATAAAATATTCATAGACTTAACTTACCTGAAACCTGTAGTATGTGCCGTCGGCTTTGATAGTCAAAATGTGGTCCTCAATTGGAAAAAGATACCCATGTGCTGCCATGAGGTGGGCCAGATGTAAAGCTTCATCTGTTCCATAAAACAATAATAATAATAAAGGTATTGATACTACAATTTACATAAAACAAAATAAAAAAAAACCTTTTTCTGTGATATTATGATTATTAGATTAGATGAAAAAAATATCACATACACGTCTCATTTGCAGTGTATCCAGAGGGGTCCTGTTCCCCCTAACCCTATTTTTTTATTTATTCTAGTTGACAGTTTACAGTATATATTCAAATAGTGGTCTCAAGTTTTTACTTTTTATTATCAAAATTCCATTCAGATGCAGTATTAAAGTTAACTTTTCTTTGGAAAACCTGGTCGTGATGGATTTGTTTTTCAATTCTTTGTAGCACTTCTTGTAATATGTCCTCTGAAATATCTACTTGATCATGAACCATTAGTGCTTGCATGCTCTGAAGCTAGGCAGATTTTATCATCTGACTTGGAACCCACCCACTCCCCTCGGGTAATTTTGGATACGCGATTGTAACTAGCATAAAGTTCATTACTTTACCGGGTTATTGAAAAAAACAAAAATGGCAAACAGATTATTCATCCAGTTTCTCTGGAATAAGAATATTTTACATAAAAGAGAAGAACAAGCTGGAAAGATTAGAACTTACTATTTGATCGTAGAACGTCTGGAAGAAAAATTACATAAAATTATATTTTTAGTGGTTGCAAAACATTCGTACTGAATCAAAAGGCAAGCAAAAGCTTCAAGATTAATGGCAGTTTATTCTAACTAATGAAAAATGTTTTAGAAAGCCAAACACTTATCTCCTGGGATGCCGAGGATCATTTAATGATGTTATCGGACAAATCTGGCAATTCGATGAGTAAAGTAATAAAAGAATATTTCAGATAGGCCTAACTTCTCGTTAGCTACATTCATTTAAAAATTTAGTTACAAGTGAAAAAGAATATTAATGTTTTTTGGTAATGAATACTTGACAATCTGCATGTTTTATAATTTATAATTTCATAAGGTGGACACAGTACAGATGAACAGCAAAGTTTTGTTTAAAAAAGCCTTGCGTATTTTATGAAAGAAAATTGTTATATAAAAAGTAATGTAAGGTCACACATTCTTGGGATAAAAATAATGCTTTAAAAATAAAAAACTGTTAAACAACTGACGAATCAGACGTGACCTAGTGGTTAGCATGCTGGACTGTGGATCAGCACGTTCACGATTCATCCGAGATACTTGTTAATAACGCGCTCTGCATTTTTAATATTGAAATATGGACATCATATAATATTTAATCCTGTTTTTTATCACAGTTTTAGCAGTTTCATCCCACTTTACTTTAATAATTTGATACTAAACTTCAAAGTATCTCTTATGCGTTTAATATAAAAAAACTCGAACTGATACAAGCATTTTTAATCAAAATTTGAG